TTCCGCGGTTAGGGTTAGCTATGGCAGTGGCAGAAGGTTTTAATTAACTGCCAGGAAACAAAGCTTAGCAGGAAAGGAGAGCCAGCGAAGTGACAGGGAAGATGCAGGTTACAACAGATTTGTGAACTCAGCCAAGCACAGTGGTGGCAGGGTCTACCTGCTACAAAGACATGTTTTAGACAGTATGTGTATGGGCAAAAAATACGAGGACTGTATTTGTGACTAATTGAATAACAGGTTAGTTTCTGTTCTGTGGAAAGTGTAAAGCATTCCAACAAAGGGTCTTAATGTAGATTTATTTTTTGCACCCGTGCTGTTGATTGCTAAAGGTAATAGTCTGATCATGACGCTAAATAAATGTGTCTTTTTAAAAAAATTTTTTTAAATAAATCTTTAAAGGAAAATGGCTTAATCGTTAAGGGATCCAGATCCCACATGGCCTATAATTTTTTTAATTTTTGATTTTTTTAACAATTATTTTTTATTTAACTTTATTTGTATGTTTATTTATTTGAATTTGACCGGAAAGGGACAGAGTGAGAGAGAGAGAGAGAGAGAAAATGAGAAAGAAAGCCGCCCAGTCCAGGACTTGAACCATGGTCAGCCATGGGGGAATTCAGCATGCTTAACCACCACGCCACCTGCTGGCCCATAATTTTTTTTTATTTTTAAAGAGAGATTTTTGCTATAGGGCATGTGCACTTGTTGGAGACGCAGAGACAGAAAGTGTGAAATCACCCCCAAGGGGAATGGCCACACCACAATCCCTTCTTCATCTCCTCTTGGGATTTTTGAGTAAGCACACACATGCACCCGGTGTGAGTTATAAGCTGCTGGGTCCAGGGCTCGAACTGCGGTCAACTACATGGAAGTCCAGTGATGTAACCATTCCACCATCTGATGATCCCAAGGCCCACAATTTGAATCCAAGCCCTGGTGGCTTGAAAAACACAAAGTACGCTCTTTTCCAGCTGGAATCATGGAAGGCATTCAAGAGAAGAAAAAGAAGGTTCCTGCTGGGGCAGAAACCAAGAAAATGGTTTCTGCTGTGGTAGAAGCCACCAAGAAAAAGGCTCCATCTATGCCAGAAACCCTTAAGAAAAAGCAAAGGAATTTTGTGGTGCTGAAGACCAAGCACCTGAGAAAGAAATTTGCTCAAAAGGTGCTTCAAAAGGCAAGGAGGAAGCTTATCTATGAAAAAGTTAAGCACTATCATATGGAATATAGACAGATTACAGAACTGAGATTCACATGGCCAGGAAGGCAAGAAAAGCTAGCAACTTCTCCTAGAAGAGAATGGAGGAGAAGAGATTGCGGCATGGCCATCCCCCCTGGAGGGTGATTTCTCACTTTCTGTCTCTCTGTCTCTGTCTTTCTGGCGAGTACACATGCCCTGTAGCAAAAAACTCTCCCCCCCAAAGAAAAAAATCCTTCGGGCTAATTCTCTTTTCTTTTCTTTTTTTTTTTATTTAAAGGGTCTTTGCTATAGGGCACATGTACTCACCAGAGAGACAAAGAGAGACAGACAAACAGAAAGTGGGAAATCAATCCCCTGGGGGATGGCCACACCGCCATCCTTTCTTCTCCATTCTCCTCTCGGGATCTTGGGCACGTAGGCATACATGCCCAGCGTGAGTTTAAGCCAACAGGTCCGGGACTCGAACTACAGTCGACTACCTTGGAGTTCAGCAATGTAGCCATTACGCTATCTGCCGGTCCTACCTGAAGGATTTTAAGTACCGCAGTTCAACTCTGTGAATTCAAGTCATTAATATGGTGGCCTGAGAAAAACACCAGACATGAGCATGTGTGCCCAAAATCCCAAGAGGAAAAAGGAGAAGGGATTACAGTATGGCTGTCCCCCTGTAAGGGGCGATTTCTCAGTTTCCCTATCTCTCTGTGTCTCTCTCACTGGCAAGTGCACAGGCCCTATAGCAAAAAAAAAAAAAAAAAAAAAAAAGAAAAGAAAAGAAAAAAAAAAAAAAAAA